AAACATCTGAAAGAAAATAAGTAAAAAACTTACGAAAATAGAAGTTAAAAAAAACCCGTTAATGAATGAAATATAAAAACAATGCCAAAGAATGAAAAAAAAAAAAATTTAAAGAGATGAACCTCGATCGGCAAATCTAGATTTTTATTTATTTTTCATACATTTTTTTACCTTTCTTTCATATATTTCTTAGGATTATTTATTTTATTATTTATTTATTTTTCTTCAATTTTTTAGCGTATATAGTTTTACTTGTTACTTTTTGTTAGCCATTTGTTTGTTTTTTAGTTATTATTTATTTTTAGTGGTATATAAATTTTTTATACAGTTATATATTGTTTGTTTTTATTTTCATTTTTAGCCATTTATTATATATGTTTAATTCTACCTTTTATTGTTATTATCTTTTTTAATTTTAAGTTTTTTTGTTGTTGTTGTTTGTTTTGTTTATTTTGCATAGTTTTTTGTTTTGTTTCGTAATGATTGTTGTAACTTGTTTTGTTTTGATTTTCTCAGTGTTTTTCTGTTTATATTATATTTATTTATTTGGTCATAATATTTGCAATATATTTTGATTATTATATTTTTACAACTATGATTATATTAATATATTTACTAAATCTTTAAATTTTTTTTAGTAGTAGTCGTTTTTATGTCATCGTTAGTTGTTACGTTTTGTCAGTTTATTACTGTTTGTAACTGTAACTTTGCATGTAAAAATGATTGCTGTGGGGAAAATACCGATTATTTAAATTATTATAATTACTTTATTGCTATTGCTATTATTATTATTATTGTTATTATTATTATTGCTATTATTATTATTAAGATTAATTGTATATATATAAATTATTTTTTTTAGGTATTTACTTGAGATTAGTATTTCAATACTATTTGTAAATAGCCTTGAAAACTTATTTTCAGAATATATATGATTGATTGATTGGTCGTCCATCATGGACGACCAAGGACTATAATATTAAACCGTGCGGTGATTTCTTTAATTTTGGACTATGCAGTGAGTTCCTTAATTGTATAACATTGACCTTGCGATGAGTTCCTTAATTTTGACATCTTTTAGTTCAAGTTTTTTGGAGAAAAATGATTTTTGTATGTTCAACTTGCTTTACGTAGATATTTGTTGTTAATAATTATATTTTCGTCGATAAGTCCTTCATTAAAATTAAGGCTTACCTTTAAATTTTTTAATTCTTCTGTTAAATTATTTATATTGTTTGCATTTCCATCAATATTTTTCACTAATTTCTTAAATCTGTCGTTTATTATTTTGATGTTACATGGTGGCCACAGTCCTGGAATGTCCTGGATTTTTGAAAGTGTCCTGGAATGTCCTGAAATATCCTGGAAAATTACATTTTTTTTCAAAAATGTCCTTAAATGTCCAGGAACTTTTTTTTTTCTGAGTCAAGTTAAAAAATTACTAAGAATATTGAAGTAGTATTGAATTTTTTATGCGAAAAATGTTTTTATATAAATGGTTTGAATTTAATTTTAAATAAGAGAATAATAGTTATATAATAATATAATATTCTATTCTATAATTCAATCAATATGAAAAAAATATAACGTAAAGATAATTGATAATATTCATTTAATAAGATATAAAATGTCCTGGAAAACGCAACAAAATGTCCTGGAATGTCCTAGAAATGTCCTGGAATTTAACTTTTAAAATTTTGTGGCCACCATGTGTTAGCTCCAATAATATCGAGAACTGTTTTTTCTTGCTTAAGAAACATTTCTTCTGTTTCCTTCTTAAATTCTTTGAACATTTCTTTTAAAAGTTTATTTCCGGATGTGTTACAACCTTATTATCCGATTTTTAAGTTAAGTTAAAACTTTTTTTTAGAGATATACGTTTTTATTTTTATTAAATAAAAAGTATTTTTTTCACCACGAGGTAAAAGTCCGTCCGTCCGACTTGTTGAAAGCTTGTTGAAGAAAAAGTTTTGGCCGTAAATAAAACAAAATACAAAAAATTAAAATTTTTCATTCTTTATTTTTATGTATTTTTGTTTTCGGTCTTTATATATATCTACAAATATATATTTTTATCGACTTTTGCGCATTCTGCGCATAACCTTGGTCTATTTTTACAATATATGGTTTTATTGTAGCATTTGCTACCTACAGTTTTGTAAATAATTAACCCTAACGTAAGGCAAAAATTCAAGTCTTTGGTCTTGAAAATGTTTGCATAATTTTTTTTAAAAGTTCTACATATACTTCCTACATATACATATACTACTACATATACTTATAAAATGATAATATTGTCTCATTGCATTTTAATTTAGTCTAAAAATCACATAACCAAATAATGACTTTCCATTGTTAAATAGGTCAAAAGTTTGACCGACCATAACTCAGAAACTACAAATATTTACAAAAAAAAAAAAAAAAAAAAAAAAATTTAACTTGATCAACATTGCAATATAAAAAATTGAGCATGATTGAAATAATTATGCCTGGTTTTCTTAGAAAATGGCTTTTAATAAATAAAATAGAAAATCCTTTTAAATATACTCTGAATTTATGATACTAAGCAATTATATCTGTAGACATCCAAATAATTATACAGTCGATGATCTAGCAATTTCAATGCATCTTTAACATATTTTCATATAGCATATTCAAACCATTACAAACTCTGTCATGCTGTTGTTATCATATTCAAACCATTACAAATTCTTAAAACAAAGATAAAAGTATCGTATATACTTTTATAACCGTTACTAACACAATAATAATCTTACTTTTAATCGCTATTATCGTTTGTATTATTTTTATTATCACTTCTGTTATTCTTATTTACTTGTACTTGTATTATTATCATTTTACTATTACTGAATTTTATTGAATTTGTTTACTTCATATAAGTACCAATTGATATTTGTAAATATCAAATTTATTTAGAATATATTTGATTTGCCATGATTTGTTGTCTAACACGTTTATTAACGATTATTAACTATTAATGTCTTTGTTTTATGCTGTATTCATTATTTTTAGTCAGAATACACAATATATATATATATATACATATATATATATATATATATATATATATATATATATATATATATATATATATATATATATATATATATATATATATATATATATATATATATATATGTATATATATACAGTAGTGGCCATTGAATTAGGGCACCTTACGGTTTTTGGATAGATTTAGTATAGCTTTGAATGTGCCTCTTAAATATGCAAAGTATTATATGTCAATGTCATTAAATAAATCAAATAAAAATTTTTCGCATATCTTTGTTTAAAAGACGTCAAAGCTTATTAAAGTTTTTTTAAAGAAAAAAATAGTAAATAAATTAAATAAAGTAAATATGGGTAAAAAGGCAGATTTTAGTGATTTTGTTAAAGGTCAAGTCATAACTTTGCATGGTGAAGGGTACTCACAAATTGTCATTAGTAAACGTCTAGAAATATCTTAATGCGCTGTACAAAACGTTATAAAATTGCATGGGAGTTCTAGACGTCAAAATTGCCACGGCGTTTCCAAAGCTACACGATACTTTTCAGGTATCGATGATCGATACCTGAAAAGTATTGTGCAAGCCAGTCCTCACACTTCCTCTGCCCGAGTTACCTAATTGGCTACGGAAAGAGGCATTAATATTAGTGCCAGAAGTGTCTGTCTACAGAATTTAAACTGCGTGCGCGTAGACCAGCAAAAAAGCCATTTCTCACCAAGAAGCAGCTTCAGACACATGTGAAATTCTGTCGTGATTTGACAAAACTGCTGAGTGGTGGACTACTGTGATGTTTACTGACGAAAATACTTTTCAGCAGCTTCGTGGTTTAGGGTACAATTATGTTTGTCGACCGGTAGGTGAAAGACTCAACCCTAAATACACTCTGAAAACCGTTAAACATCTGCCATCTGTTATGGTGTAGGGAGCTATCTCAGCTAAGGGTAGATACGGAATCCACATCTTCGGTAAGGGCGAAAAGGTCAATGCTGCAAAGTATGTACAGGTTTCAGAGTCAAAGGTTAAGACACATATGAACATTTCTGAAATTACCATCTTTCAACAAGACTCAGCACCGTGCCATACTGCGAAATCAGTCAAGATGTGGTTTCATGACAACAATGTGCAACTTTTGAAGAACTGGCCCTCAAATTTGCCTGATTTGAACGTTATTGAAAATTGTTGAAACTTAATGAAAGCTAAAGTGTCAGCACATCGTCCAATGCCAGAGGAACATTTAAAAGATGTATTGAAGCAGGTGTGGGTAAATGAAATTACCCTAGAGTACTGTGACAAGCTTGTAAAATGTATGCCTTCTTATATACAGGCTGTATTGAAAAATCGTGGTTACCCTACGAAATACTAAGATTTTGAGACTTTTTGTTGATGAATTTTAAGAGTAATGCTGCTAGATATTTTTTAGAACATTTTATAATACTAATAGTACATATAATACGATTTCATGAAAGAGAAACTGACTTGCTTAATTAAAACTGCAATTCTGCTAGGTACCTTAATTCAATGGCCACTACTGTATATATATATATATGTATATATATATATATATATATATATATATATATATATATATATATATATATATATATATATATATATGTATATATATATATATATATATATATATATATATATATATATATATATATATATATATATGTATATATTGATGCAATCATTAATAATTTGTTGAAATAACCAAAGCACATCTTGCTCCTCCAATTTCAATATTTATCCCAGAATATATGCAACTTAACTATAGCGAAATACAATCTTTACAATTTGACTGAGCACTAGTATAGAAAGGAACTTAAGTGTTATTAGAAAACGGTCCGCGTTTCCAGATTAGTTAATATAAAATACAACGTTTTTATGATTAAATGCCATTTTGGTTTTGCTAAAATAATAATTATTGAAAAAGTGATTATTTATTTTAAAATATATAAATACGTAGAGTGAAAAGAAATCAATATATTTATAACTAATACAAAAAGTTAAGACGATATCTTCAGTTTTTGTCTTCTTTTTACATCCCAGTTGTAAATTCTCGCCATGCCTGATTATTAGGTTAAGGAATTTTAATAATAAAAAAACAACATTAAAAAACATTTTAATGTAAAGTATACAAAAATATTTGTTCAATAGAATTAGGTCCTACAAAAAGATTATACTCAGGAATAAACAAGAGTTTACTAAAATGCAGAAATTGACACAACCACGTTGTGCATTATTGACACAACCGCATGTGCATACCGGAACTAGGATATAAGCATGTTAACTCACTTTTTGCAAGTAAAAAACTGTTAAATTGAGGACTATTTCTACTTGTTATGAAGTGCTTTATCAAGATAATCATTAGATAAACTTCAATTTTTTAAAAAATGATCTTGAATAAATTAGATATTAGTTTAATATACTCAATATGATAAAAAGTCTATTTGTTCTACATTTCAAAGAACAAATACTATTAAAAATTTTTTTTTTTAAGTTTGAAAAAGATACTGACTTCAGTTGTTGTAATTTGATCTCTTAAATAGTCGAGATCATTATCTAGCTCAAGTAGTTGTGACTCTGCTGCAGACAGATTTTTCTTTAAGAGTTCATCAGCCTCATCAATATTATACTCCAGCATTACATTTGCACCTAGCCATAAACATACTTTATCAGTTGTTGGTACTTTTGCATGAACAAATAATTGATCTGATAACATGAATTGAGTTTTTAATGGTTCTTTTTCATTCTGAAACGTATATCATTGGTTTAAAAAAATTTCCATAAAATTTAGCATTTTAATTTTAACAATAAAACTCTAAAATGAAAAGAAAAAATATTTTCATACCACCTTTTTGTTTTTAAGAAAATTTATTGAACTAAGAGTTGCTTTAATATCAGGGATTTGAGTTGATAATCTTAATAACAAAATAAAATTAAAATATTATAAAAAAACATTTTAAAATTAAAAAATGATATTTAAAACTAAAACCTACCTAATTTTTTTGTTCAATAAGTTTGATTCCATGAATCTATACTTTTGAAACTGTTCATCAAGCTTTTGCAAAGCAGTTTCAGATGAACTTTCTTTTACCATATAAGCATCAACATCATTCTAAAAGCCATCATTAAATTTTTTAAGTTTTAAATTTTTTAAATCATACCATGAAAACCGTCATAAAATTATTAAATTATACCATAAAAACCAAACTATAAGGAAAAAAAATTTTTGACACTGAGCTTTTCACATTTATTAAAAAACTGCTAAAATTAAGTTAACTTACTGTTAAGTTAAAATGTTCAGAAGTTGCGAATTTTTTTTTTTTAAATCCTTAGTATGTTCTGAAAACAATAGGTAGCATACTGCTTGTCTATTGATTTTGTTTGCTAAATTTTACTTAAATTAATATTTAAAGCTAATATTTAATATATAATTAATATTTAAAGCTATCACTCACACAGCAAAGAGCAACAATACAATTTGATAATAGTATGGCATGTTTTAGACAATTATCTTTTGAGGACGTTTGTCAATTTCTCCATTTGGACATTGAATTTAATAAGTATTTTATAAAATTTGATTTAAAAAATAGTGGAGATTTGTATCTTTTAACCCATCTTGTTTCACAAAGAAATTTTTATTTTTAAAACAATATTTTTTGTGGTTGATGCTTTAAAAAAACCACTTCTTTGATAGTTCGATTACACAACACTTACAAAATACATTCTAGCATTGGCAGTGATAATTATAATTTTAGTATAATATATTTATAATAAATATTCTGTATCGTTATTTCTTGTTTTCTTTTCCAGTTACCGTTTCTGAGACTAATTTCAGATCAAAGGAGGGGAAATAACTTTCCCCTCCATTAATCTATGTTGTTGTGTTCTCTGATGGTTATTTCAGAGGTGTCTTTTGGAGATATCTGTGAATATGGTAGCAAAGTAAGAATTGGTATTTCAATTGGTAATGGAAATTTAATAAGATAATGAACAACTATTTACACATTTTCAAGTTTTTTTTGTGATAATCTTGAGAACCTATTCTACTTCTGTGAGGGAATGAAACAATGGAGACTTTTTGTAAAGAGCATCATTTTAAGTCTGAAAAGACTGAATAGTTAGTATAGATTGTGCAAACTATTTTGCATTAAGTTATTTTAGATCTTATTATAGATCTGACTCTGCAATTTTTAACAACTATTTTTGCTGTCTTGATTTAAGATTCTTTTGTTGTCCATGATCACCATATTTCTCCTAATATTTTCGCGAAACAATCTATTGTCATATTAGAGAACATTTTTGATTAACATTGGTGATAATGATAGTGTAAACTATGATTTACTTGATCCAACTTTTGTGTTGGACCATTTTTGGCTAAAGGATCAACAAAAAGATAAATTTGTTTTTTACAATAATAATGGAAAATATTTATGTTAAAACTTAAAAAGCAAAAATTTGTTTGTACTAACACAGGTTTCTCAAGATTTTTTTCTATTAACTTGCTATCAAAGAGCTTATAGAAATCACATAGAGAACTGTGATCTTGCACTCCATGTTCTTTAGCTGATATAAGCTAATTTGGAATTATTTCCATGGTGGGTTATGATGCCATTTTGCTGGTTATTTCTTCTCCTGATAATATCACATGGCAAATAACTGCATCTCTAGTACAAGATACAGGTGGGTGAATAGCAATATAATCTCTTGTCGATCATTTGATAGCAACTGTCATCATTTCCAACAAAACAACAACTCACTTGCACTACTGTCAACTTTGAAGTTTACAAACTGAGGTGTTTTATGATTAAACATGCGTTTAATGATTAAACATGTATTTATTATGTTGTATCACATTTCTTTTGAAGTTTTTTTACTGTTCTTTGTTATACCTGTAACTTTAAGTCCTTCAGCTAGTTCATTTAAATGAATTTCACCAAATGCTATAGTACAGATTAAAGCAAGGTTGATAAAAAGTCTCCCTTTTTTGAGTTAGACTGGGGTGCTTTGCTATGAATCTTGACCAGAAAGAAGGTAATTTAATAGAAGTAGTTTTTACTGCATATAGTGATAGTTTGCAGTATAAATGACAGTTTTTTTAGATTTTTATTAGCATGCATATGATATTGAGTTTTGGTCTCATTTTAATATACTTTTTAATATACTAATAACTGTAAAAAACAAGATTAAAATGCATTTTGAATAATTTAAACTACAATTTTCAACTTCTTTAAAAGTTCTGAACTGCACTTTAAGGTAGAAAAATTTACATTATAAAGAACAGCTGAAAATCTGAATCCCAACTGAATTTAAATCAAATATGTTTAAATTCAGAAGATGAGCATTTAGCTTTTGTAACAAAACAAAATTTTGTAACAAAACAAAATCAACTACATTTTAAGGTACAAATACCTGTAATTCATATATCTATATATAATTATAACAGAAAACATCATGTTGTAACTAGAAATCACAACTACTACAAAAAAATAACCTAGACCTCAGCTTTAATTTGTAAAAATATATTAAAACATCAGTCAACTTTAATTTATAAAAATTCATAACAAGTCTAAAAATGAAATCATGATCTTTATTAATTATACATTAGTCTTTTTAAACTTTTACTATATTACAAATTTGTATGTATTTTTGTATATGAGTATATATAACTCGTCTGAAATTCAAAACTATACTTACCAAAAATAGGGCTTCAGGTATTCCTCTGTGCTTTTTCTTAACCAGAGGAGTTTCTGTCATTCTGTTATTATAAAACTCTTGTAAAATAAATAAACAAAAAATTAAATGCATTCAACTAATAAAAATATCCCCTATTATTAACTTGTACGAATTACACTAAATAAATACTATTTAAAATAATAAAAAAAAGAATTCAAATAACAAAAAAATAACAAAAAATAACAAAAACAAAAACAAAAGTACAATTAGTTTATTAACTTGGAAATTTATAAAAGTTGCAAAAACTAGTAACAAATAATTTTATCTAACATTAATCAAGCGATTCAGCCAGCATTTTCTCTTCAGCATGTTTAATGTCATATAACTCCTGAAATTTTTTCCTTTTTTGCATTTCTTTAGCTTCTTGTCTACTTATTTCGCGTTGATGATAAAGATCAGAAAATGGATCATTCTCATAATCTTTACACAATTTCAGTTTATCTTCGATTGCAAAGATTTCTGTTTGATCTGCGACTTTAATGCTGCAGACAATTTCTTGTATTCTTTTCAGCTTACATAAAACTTTCTCAATGGAGTCTGTATCTAATGTTAATTGCAAATAACCAATTAATTGTTCTCGTCCAACGCCATTTTCAATTGCAGCTAAAGCAAGTTGACTAGGAGTAAAAAGCAAAATTACATCGGTAAGCAAACTACTAGTCAAAAATTGCTCTATATTTGTTCGATGTTTTTCAATATCAGGTATACTTTTCTTTGTTTTAACGTCAATTAAAAAACCTTCAAGCGGACGATAGGGGCTATGAACTGTTAAGTGGTAGTTTAGCTTTTGAAGTAAAACAAGTTCATTATCAATAAGAAATTTCTGCATGTTTAAAGAACGCTTGACAACAGCTTGCTCCATAAATTGGTCAATTGATACATTATACTCATCAATTTTACATGCTAAGTAAACACACAGATAAGCAATATCTTTAGGATGAAATTCCATAACAGAAGTATATAAATAAAACCGTTTGAAATAAGATAATGATGTACCAATTAATGATAAAGGTACAGGTGGTTTAAACCTTCGACAAATATTAAAAACAAATTGTGTATAATAAGTTAACAATAGTTTTTCTTCATTAGGATTTAAATATTCAATCTTAGCATTAGGCTTCAGTTTTCGATGCATTTCTATAAAGTTATTGTTTGATGCAGCACGGTTAGAATTGATTTTATCAATGCTTTCAAAAATCCAGTGCTTTCGCTGTGAACTTGTGTGAAACATCTTTTAAATTATTATATTGCTTTTTAAAAAAAACTTGTAAATAATCTTTTAAATTAAAAAATATAAGTATTTGGAAACAAAAATAATTAAAAACCTTTTTCAAATTGAAACATTTAACTTACTAATTCTTCATCTCATTAGTCATAAAATACCAGTACGCTGTATTTTCTTAATTACTTATTTTCTTAACAAGTTATACTATTTTTACAATATTTAAATTTGAGTGTATGATTTTATATTGAAATGCAGATACATGATTTTACATAAGCATAGAAGTTAATGTGGTGTTTTACAATGAAATTAAGGTTAGGTTATTTATGAGATATTAATATTTAAGAATATTAATGATATTAATGCAGAATAGTACACTATTAACATTAACATTTTATATAGACATATATATTTTATATTCTTAAACATATATATACACATATATTTTATACAATATATATATATATATATATATATATATATATATATATATATATATATATATATATATATATATATATATATACAATTTTATATATACATAAATGTCTATATAAAATTGTATATATATATATATATATATATATATATATATATATATATATATATATATATATATATATATATATATATATATATATATATATATATATATTGTATTGTAGAAATATTTATTAACATACGTTAATATACATAAATATACATTTTTATATATAAATTTATGTATATTTTATATATTATGTAGCAATCAAAACGCTGCGAGCCAGGCTATTTGTCAGTCCATGTAGCAGGGCTTCGTTGCATGTCAGGCTGTTTGTCAGTGGATGTAGCAGCATTCCGTTACGAGTCAGGCTATTTGTCAGTCAATGTAGCAGCACTCCGTTGTAAGTCAGGCTAAAAGATAGTCGATGTAGCAATACTCTGTAAAAGATAGTCGATGTAGCAATACTCTGCACACGTTTTACAGTTAAAAAATAAAAATAAAAAAATCACAGTAATCACAATATTTTTATTTTTAAAAATTAAAATAAAAATATTGGGAATGTTTTTCAAAATATTTAGAATGTTTTTAAAAGCATTTAGAATGTTTTTAAAAGCATTTAGAATGTTTTTAAAAGCATTTAGAATATTTTAAAAGCATTTAGAACATTTTTAAAAACATTTAGAGTGTTTCTAAAAGCATTTAGAATGTTTTTAAAAATATTATAGTCTTTTAATTTGTGGTTTTGTAGTTACTTCTTACAATTTTGTAATTACTTCTTACAATTAAATTAATGTATTTTGACATAATCTAACCTTAATTTTGTCAGCTTTAAAACCACAAAGAAGCGAAGAGCCGATTTTTACCACAAACACATTTTCTTATATATATATAATAATAATAACAATAATTATGATACATTTTTTAAGTATAGTAGAGTAACCCATTTAAAAAACCATATAAAACTAAAAAAACATTTATTGCATAGCAACAACATACATCATTCACTATGTATAATATTAACAATTTTATTTATACCTATAACTTATTAAATAGAATTGAAAATCTAGAAATGACTCTAGAAATTGATGGAAAAACACTTCATAGCAACAAGTAAAGATTAGCAGTTACTTATAGACAAGAAGGTTTATATCTTTTTAAGAAGGTTAATATCTTTTTAACTTTTTACATTATAAAATTTTTTAATTTCTTTAATTAATAAAAATAAAAAAAAAGATAGTAATAAATGAAGTACAATAATTTCAAAAACAAAACTTTAGTGTAAATATTTTAATAAATATACTCATACACACCATTAAATGTGAAAAACGTAAACATACATATTATATATATTTAAATATGTATGTTTATGTTTAATATATATATATATATATATATATTAAACATAAACATACTTTATATATATATATATATATATATATATATATATATATATATATATATATATATATATATATATATATATATATATATATATATATATATATATATATATATATATATATATATATATGTGTATATATATATATATATAAAGTTTTAAAATCAAACTTAGAATTATTTAATTTTATGAAATATACAAAATCTTTTTTTATGTAACTTTCTGTACAAAAATTTATAAACCATTTCTTCATTACTTTGCGCTCAGTTATATATCATTATTCAAGTTAAATTATATCTCAGACATAAGTTTATCAATTTGAGCTGCTGTCTTCATCCTTAAAAAAACAAACAAAACAAACATTATCATTAAAATTTATAAAACCTACAGAAGTATAAGATGCGTTTTTTGCAAAAAAAAAAAATTTCTCACATCGACATCTATTTCTTTGCTTTTAATAAAACCTTTCTTGAGTTTTAATTCAATTCTAAAATCAAATAAAAGATTTAGAAAGTTCAATACTACCAAAAATGCTTTAATTTAACAAGTGCATAATAACAAATTCAAACCATATAAACTTCTAACTATTTGTATTAAAATATACAGAGATTAGAAACATACCTAATGTATAAATAGGAGAAAAAAGCATAAATTTACAAACAAACCATCTACACAAAAGAATTTTTGTTTGTAAATAAATTTACAAACAAAAATTCTTTTGTGTAGATGGCCCTATGCAAGGACTACTCTGCTGCTTGCTAATCACAAAAACACAATACCACAACACAGTGGTACAAAACTTATTTGAACAATAATTATTTTAAAAATAGGTAAATAGAGCAATGGCAATTTAAAAAAACTACTTTAGATTTTTTTTTAACATATATATTTTTTTATATTATTTAATGAAATATATATATATATATATATATATATATATATATATATATATATATATATATATATATATATATATATATATATATATATATATATTTTAAATATGTCATTAAATAATTGAAAAATCAGTGACATAAACAGTAATGTAAATTTATGAAAAAAACTGTCTGAAACAACATTTAACTATTAAAATAATAACTGTTTTGGGCTGATTCATTCTTCTTATATTCCACTATGCTTTTTAAACATTTTTCTGTCCAATCAAAAGTGTTTTTCAAAACTTTACATTTTCAAGAAACTTACTAATAACAAAATGAGCGATGGCCTTCACTTTTTTCTAAAAGACCTCTATTAGATCTACCGGAAAGCTCTGTTTGTTTTTAGAACAAAATAAAATACAAATTTTTGATAACACCTATAAACTTTATTGAATAATATAATTGATATTATTTGGAAATAAGTTTCTATTAATGCTAGTAATAGTGTCAATTATATTACTCAATAAAGTTTATAAGTAATATCAAAAATTTGTATTTTATTTTGTTCCGAAAATGGACAGAACTTTCCGGTAGACCTAATTATATAGAAATTTAGGATATAGAAGATCTTTATTTAGAAATTGACAATTGTGCCCCCTACCCAATTTGAAAACTATGTTGTGGGCCCTGAACAAGCATAAATAATTACCTGTGTTTATGTCCCTTCTTTCTTTTTATGTGATTACTTGCTACAATAAAATAGTTAAAATTATAATTAAAAAAATTAGAATAACATAACATCTATCTAACAAGTATTAACTAAAACAACTGGAAAATTTACATTGTACCTACCTAACAAGTGATAATAAAAAATACAGGAAAATTCACATATTTATTTTATGGGTGACAACAAAAAAATTCTGGAGAATTCATAATATCTAACCTAACATAATATCTAAACCTAATTGGTTTCGGACCAAAAGTCAATAATTTTTTATCACTTAACAGTGTTAAGTGATAAAATATTATCACTTAACACTATTAAGTGATAAAAAATAATTAAAAAGTAATACAAAATAATTTTTAGAATACAAAAACTTCCAAAATTTTATTTTTAATTAAACATATTACTTTTTAAGTGTATGGAAATACTTTAAAAGTATTAGAAACTGCAAAAAATACAAGTTTTTTTTATAGAAATAATGTATAAATGTTAACCATAGAAGTATTTATCACATTTTATTAATAACACTTTTCATTCAGTGAGTTTTAGTATAAATTATAGATTGAGCTGCAGAGAATCTTTATTAAGTTGATGCACATCTTTGTTATACTGTTTTCTAATGGTGGTGATGTAGTGATCAAGAGTGTACAGAATATAAGTAATAAGAATATAAGAGTATAAGTGAAATCCTCATTTGTAGCTGATTAAAAGCATCTCCTGGTATGATGAAGACAACATTTTGTATAACATTTATTATTTTTGAGCATTTTCCAAAAGTTGAACACTAGAAAGTATTGCAAAATTTTCTTTGTGAAGTAAGAAAAAGTTTTGTCTACTGAAAATGACATACCATCTATAATTTTTTACATAGATTTAAACTTTCAACATTTATAATGACATCTGAGAATAGAACTTGCAAATTATGTAAAGTTGCTTATTCAAATTTTTAATTACTCCAGTGATTTCAGCAGAGCAGCTTATATTGCAACAAAATCTTTGAGCAGTATTACCATCATTGTTATTACTTGAATTGCTTAGTAGGTGATCAATCATAGTTCCTCACAAAAACGTTTCTTAACTAAGGTTTTCTTCTCTTTCTTTAGTTGTTATTCTTTCTTTACTTGCGGCTGAGCATGTATAGAAGGACAAGTTGTTGAAAATATATAATATCATTTCTAAACACTGAATCAAGGGTAATGTAGAAAATCTGTATTGATATGAATTTTTATTTTCAGGACTAGCAGCTTTAGTTGAATCATATGCTGTGGAATCATTCATATGTTGTGGAATCATTCATATGCTGTGGAATAGCTCCACATATTGTACATGCAGAAGGCATACATGTAATATCAGAGCCACTTTTTTATTTAGTTAGAAAAAGTTCATGCTTCACTTATATGCCTTTATCATTTATGTTTATTACAAATGGTTGCAAAGAATATATTTCACTCATTTCTTTCAAAAAAATAGAACGTATGTCAATTTAAATTAATTATCAACAAAAATTGATAAAAAATACTAAACTATTGTTATAAAAAGATATAGTGTGATACCACAATAGTGTTTTTCTTTCTGGCTTTTATCACATTTTTCTTAGTAACATTAGAAACTACACATAACTGACTCTTATATTCATTTTTAATAAACATCTACAAATCAATATAAAATATAAAGTGTGGGCAAACATGTTTAAATAAACATCTATAGAAATATCAAAGAGTAGGACTTCAAAATTTTTTTTTACATAAAACTATGTAAAAACCCTATATCCCTATAACCCTATAAAATAATAAATAATAAAGATTGATTTTAAATCTATTAAACTAAACTATTAAATAAAATTAAAAATATAATGTTAAGTATAAATAAAAATATAAAGTAGCAACATTACTAAAAAAATGAGTGATATGCGGATAATATTTATGATTCTTCATACTGAGGCGACAGCAGAACAAATACTGAAAAATTTACATAATATCAATCTAATAGGTGACAACTAAAAAATTCTGAAGAATTTACAAAATATGTTTAACAAGTGACAACTAAAAAATACTGAAGAGCTTTCATAATATCTGATAACTTATAAATGGTACTTAACTTTAAAAAGTTCATTCACCATTTAAATAAAATGTAAAACAAAAAGGAAACATTTATAACGATTTATAAAAACCATTGTTTTTATAAATAGTAACTAAAACATTAAGTCCAAAACAAACTCAATTATATAAAAAGAATGTTTTTCTTTAAAAAATAATTTTAATTACTTAACTAAATACTTATAAACATCTACAAGTTAAATTTTACAGTGTTAATGCTGTTTCATTTTAAAACTAAATTTAAAGAAGCTTTTTTTAATCATGGATTACTCAAGATTTTTTAACTTTTTATAATAACACAATATGGCTCTTATTTGTTCTTATGTAGAGAATTAATTAAAACTAAAGAAGAAACAAATTATATGTGTCAAGAGTGAAAATATATGTACAAATTAAGATAAATTGTGAAGCATACTCAAAAGCTGCTATTAGCAGCTTGCGGCCTCAAAATCAAAAGCCGTTGTCAGCGGTTTGCGGTAGTGTTACATAATTTAAAATAATTTATTTTACCAGAATCTTAATAAGGATAATAATCAGTTAATAACAAATATAACACAAAAATATATATAAAAATAAATATAACACAAAAATAATTTATAGCAATAGACAAGCTTAAAATATCTGAAATATTTTATTCATATTTTATTCATATTTTATTATAAAATATATATAAAAATAAATATAACACAAAAAATAATTTATAGCAATAGACAAGCTTAAAATATCTGAAATATTTTATTCATATTTTTAATGCAAACTTTGCAAAATTTAGAAAATATTAATTTGCGAAATTCTACATTAATTTATGATGAACAAAAAACTTTTATATAATAAGCAGCCATAATATATAATTGCAGCCAACCTTCAACCTTTGTCACATCGCTGTAATGTTGCTTCTCTTTCTCTTTTCTACAAATATTATAATGAGTACTGCTCTAAAGAGCTAGCGTCTCTAGTGCTATCTACTAAAATTCATTCTCGTGTTACTCGTCATTCATTCAAGTCTCATCCTTTTTCTGTTACTGTTCCTAAGTGCTTCAAAAACTCTTATTCGTCTAGTTTTTTTCCTCGAACATCATTTCTTTGGAATTTGCTTCCTTCATCTTGCTTTCCTAATTCATATAATTTGCAATCTTTTAAGTCGTCTGTCAATTGTTATCTTGCTCAACAATCTTCATCTTTTCTCTTCCAGTAACTTCCAACACTAATTAGTGGTTGCTTGCAGCCTTGTTGGAAGCGAAGATGTTTAAAAAAAAAAACAAAAAAACTTAACAAATTCTTTAGTAATATATAATTAAAAATAACAAGTTCTTTAGTAATATATGATTAATAACAAAATAATCTATAATATGATAAAAAAATTTTTTTTTTTTAGATTTCTTATCAAAATTCTTCAATGATGTCATTTACTTAAACTCTTTGGAATTAAGCACACTTTGGGATCCCATTAATGCAAATGGAAATAGTAGAAATAAAATTTGAGAAAAAAAATCATCCAAAACTTTCATCCGGTTGTATGTTGTTTTATGCAATTTATTTATGAACACTATAATATAATATATTATTAACACAGGTCTACAAAAAAATCTTATTTCCTGTTGCATGAGATATTTTAACTGATTTTTATGTATTTTTAAACGCTGAATCCAAATATAATGTTTTTGTTGGCAAGCTCTAATTTTTTTGCAATAACCAACTTATTAATTTTTTTTATAAATTATGATTTTCATAGGTATTTTTATTCAATAGTTATAAAAAAAAGTAACCATGTCATTATTTCTATTAGATCAAATATACAATATGATGACTTCTTCAAACCAACATAAGTGCAAGCATAATCCTAACTCATTCTGTTATATCTGTGGTTGCTATACACTTGTTTGACAAAAATGAAACATTACTAATTTTGTAAAACTAGCATATAAATCGTATTTCGATATTAAACTTGGCGACCAAGACAAGTTTAATATTGAAATACGATTTTAAAACATTACTAATTTTGTAAAACTAGCATATAAATTGTATTTCGATATTAAACTTGGCGACCAAGACAAAGTGGGCTTTGTGAAGAAAGTCTTCAAGAGTAGACAAAAAGAAAAAGAATTTACTTTACGGAGTCCCCATGGTTTGGACGAAACCACTAAATCACATTGATGACTGCTATTTTTGTCCTGTTGTTACTGATATTGGCAAAATAAAGGGGCAAAAAATAGCTTATCCCAACATTCCTTCTGCTATTAGACCAATATAACATTCTAATGAGATTCTATTTCCAATCTTTAAAGGAATATTTATATCAGAAGTTGAACAAGGCATGTCTGCTACAGAAAAAGAAGAACTATTAAATATTTGGAAGACTTTTCATCTAATGCTAAAAAATTCAATTTGCTTCATTGTTTTAGTCAGATAGAACTGAATAACTTAGTTCATTATTTAGGATTTTCTAAGCAAGCAGCAGAAGTATTAGCATTACGTTTTTCAATAGAGAAAAAAAGAGCAGGAGTTTTTAATGGGTTTCAAATTTGCTATATTTTAAAAGATAAAGAATTCATTAAAAAAATGAATATCAAAGAGAAAACGGCTTGGTTGTCATTTGTGGTTGTTGTAAAAACTTTCTTGGAAATAGAAAGGCAGAAAACTATTCAGATACTGATTTTCAGGAAACTGGTCATCTCGACCAGTTTCCTGAAAATCTTGGAGACGCGAGTGAAGAGCGAGGAGAACGATTACATCAAGATCTTAAGACAATCGATAATTGTTACCAAGGACGTTGGAACATACACATGATAGCAGACTACTGTTAGGGCATCAAGCAAGACGACTCAGGAAAAGTTTATAAATGAAAGAGCAACAAGCAAAAGTTTCTTCTTGATTAAAAAGCTGTTATTAAACAATCTGCAATCTTTTTTAAAACTAAACTAAAACATGAATTTGTTATTAATCAATAAAAAGTTGATAACTTTGCTAGACTTGGGTAATTATAAAATGTTCATTTTAAACAGTTCCCATTTTATTTTCATCTGTTTTCTGCTTTTGTTTTAGTTTTTTAAACTGACCTGACCCTAACCCAAACAACTTTTATAGTAAAAAATGTCATAGCATTTCCAAATTCTTTTCAAATCTGTATTTTAGAACTATTTCTAATGTTTGGCAAATTAAAAAAACATTTATTGCAAAAAATCTGCTTTCCATAAAAATAAGATGCCAGATTTGAATTCAGCGTATCAAAATTATGTAAGAATTTAATGTCAAATTTAATGCAATAAATTTTTTGTAGACCTGTGTAAACTTGATAATCATTTTGATTTTAGTTTTGCTACTAAATAATATTTTTTCATTGTATACTAACAGGTTTTTTTTGTATACAAAACAGGTTGTATACAAAACATTGTATATAAAACAGGTTTTTTGATTTTTTCAGAAGGTTTTTAAACAAACATTCTGTGATTTTGTTAATTTTCAAAAAAAAAATTATTTTGTTTTTAACTTTATCCCTCTGTTGCTTTTTGCTCCAAAAAAAATAATAATTGTAGTTCAATACAAAAAGGAGATTTTTAAAAAACTTTGATCGTTTTTATCTAACTTGCAGGGTTGGGATCAAATATGTTTTTGTATTTGGCAAAAATGGACTATTTTGACATATTTGTATTTGTGTTGTATTTGATAATTTTTTTTTTAATATTTGTATTTGATAAAAATGTATTTGCAGTTCCATAAACTAGGTTAACCAGTGCTTTTTTGAGAAATACAAAGAGATTTGTTTTTGTTTTTTTCCATTTTTAACACTAAAATAAATTAAAAATTAGTTTTTAGTTTAGAATTTACGTATTTGTAATTGTATTTGTATTTGATTGAATATATTTGAACCCAACCCTGCTAACTATTATTAAAAAACAATACCTTTTGTAACTTTGCCTGAGTGTTCAGAGTTAGTTGAATGTAGAGTGTTATCAACTTGATCATTTTCTTCTGTAAAATATACATTAACTATTAATTATACTTTAAATACATTATATATATATATATATATATATATATATATATATATATATATACATATATATATATATATATATATATATATATATATATATATATATATATATATATATATATATATATATATATACGCGGTAGTGGTGTAGTGGTAACACACTCGCTTCATAAGCGAGAGGTTCCGAGTTCTATCCCCACCACGTTCCTGGTAGTACCATACTCAACTTGTTTCTCCCTGCAGCAGCCTTAATTGTCAAGGTTCGTGTTTCGGAGTTATAGAGTTGAGAGAGGGTTATAACCACTATTAAGTAGCCTCCTCGTCTGTAGTGGCCTTCTCGGCTTTGAAGAGGTGAATAAAAATAAAAAAATTAAGAAATAAAATATATATATATATATTATATATATATATATATATATATATATATATATATATATATATATATTATATATATATATATATTATATATATATAATATATATATATATGTGTATATAAATATATATATATATATATATATATATATATATATATATATATATATGTGTGTGTATATATATATATATATATGTGTGTGTATATATATATATATATATATATATATATATATATATATATATATATATATCAAGCCTTTCCAAGAAAGGCGTGCGGTTTTTTGTTTTGTATGACCACACGCGATTAGATTATTTTAGAAAACGTGAACACGACCGTTTGCAAGTTTTATAATAATGCTGGAAAAGTTTCAAAAACAAAAAAAAAAACAAAACTAACAAAATAAAAAGAGATTGAAATAGAAAAAAATAAAAACAAATTAATAATTCAAATAATTTGTGTACTATTTTTATTTTTGTTTCTTTAGAGTTACATTCAGCAACAAAATTAGATAAGAAGAAGCAAAAAAAAAAAAAAAACAGTTTGAAGTCTACAATAAAAAGAACGATGTTCCTTTTCTTAATTTTTTTTAAAGAGGATAGTAAAAATAAAAATTGCAATGTGTTTGTAAAATTTATTTTTATAATTTTAATGTAGCAACAAGGATTGAATTAAGCGAATGCAAAATGCAAAATCTGGAAAAATATCTAGCATTAAAAATTTTAGTTTATACAAAACCGTGTTCCTTGTTTATAAGGGGAGAATCAACTTAAATTTATTAGCGAAAAAATAAAAAACAAAACAAAAAACTTACGATTACAAAAGTAAGAACATTCTAGTCACTAGCTGCATTACAAAAGTAATAACACTATAATAGTGTTATTATTTTTATAACCCACTTAAAACTTTTAAAATCCATTCTTTGTTCAAGCAACATTAGTATTCCTAAATTTTAATTGAAGTAGAAAAATATCTAGAAGAATAAAGTGGATGTTCAAATAATATTAAAACTAAAGTAACTTATAAAATCTTGACAGACAACTTTATGAAAACGTGTCGTATTAAGAGTTTAGCATTATGAAAAACATTACTAATAGACCGTAAAAACGCGCGTTAATTTAAAAATTAAACAATAAAAATTTTTTATTGGTTGATTTTAAAAATAATGCGCGTTTTTACGTAACGTTTTTCATAATGCTATACTTTTTATAAAGTACTTTTTTATAACGTTGTTTAAGTGATATGTGAAAGTTCCTGAAATTTTTAATAATATTTGAATATCCGCTTTATTTTTTATAGATGCTTTTCTACTTTAATAAATGTTTGGAATTAATAATGTTGTTTGAACAAAGAATGAACTTTAAAAGTAATAAGTGCTATATAAATGTAATAACACTATTATAGTTTTATTACTTTTATAATGCAGTTAGTGACTAAAGTGTTATTACTTTTGTAGTTTATTGTTTTTGTTTTGTTTTTTGTAACTTTCTCGCTAGCAAACTTTTAATAATTTGCTCCTTATAAACAAAGTACACAGCTTTGCATAAACTAAAATTTTAATGACCTAATATTTTACCAGAGTTTGCAAACGCGATCGTATAATTTAATTCTTGATATAAACTTGTTACATTATGATTATACAAATATATTTTATAAACAGGTGACGATACATATTTTCTCTTTTATCTTAAAGAAAAAACACATAAAATATGGGAAAGTCATCCTTTTTAACGCCTAAAACCGTTGTTTTTTTTTGGATGTGACTTAATGAATTTTGTTGCCGATAATAATAACCACTAAGAAAAAACAAAAATAAAAACAACAAACAAATTATTTAAACTATTATTATTGTTTTCAATTTAAGCTTACTTTAATTTCTTATGCAGTTATTAAATTTAAAACAATTTTTCAGTAACGCATATAATATAACTTGCGCAAACGGACATGGTCACGTTCTCTAACTTGAAAATGTTTTCGTGGTCGTACGAGAAAGAAAACCGCATGCCTTTTCTGGGAAGGCTTGATATATATAAATAATTAAAAAAAATATTGCTGCCCTAATCCAAGCCCTTAATCAATTTAGAGGCACTCCTTGCATGTTTTGCTACTTACTGAGTCTATGTATGTACTAAAGCCGCTAGCAACTCCAACTTAGTTGGTTAGCAACTCATTTAAGTAAGCAATTGTGTGTGAAGACATCGCTACACATTTGTATACATATATATCGAACCTTGTTTTAAAGTGGAAGACATCGTTCCACACACATGAAAGAGGCACTTAAACCACATGTTTATTTGTGTGTGTGTGTATATATATATATATATATATATATATATATATATATATATATATATATATATATATATATATATATATATATATATATATATATATGTATGTATGTATGTATGTATGTATGTATGTATGTATGTATGTATGTATGTATGTATGTATGTATGTATGTATGTATGTATATATATATATATATATATATATATATATATATCAAACCTTCTTTTAAAGTGGAAGACATTGCTCCACACACATGAAAGAGGCACATAAACCGCATGTTTATTTGTGTGTGTATACATATATATATATATATATATATATATATATATATATATATATATATATATATATATATATATATCAAAACTTGTTTTAAAGTGGAAGATATCGATCCACACACATAAAAGAGGCACATAAACCGAATGTTTAAAACTTACAGGCATGAAAACAATGCTTGTTAGTCTAGTAATAAGGCTTGTTAATCTAGTAATAAGAATATAAAATTGTGGTAGTCTCAAGAGTTTGATAAGGAGAAACATTTTTACCTGATTTTAAATAAAATATTTCTGTATTAAAGACAAAAGTTGGTTAAGTAAACAGTTTGAATTTTATTAAAATATAATGTCAATAATAATGACACCAACAAAATGAAATCAAGAAATACTAAAACTTTTAACTGTTCTATAGTTAACAGTGTGATGTTATTAAGTTGTTGGTTCGAAATATTTATAACAAAACTTTATAGTATTTTAAAAGTTATATTTTTTAAACAAAACTTTTTCAGCTACAACTTTAAGGAAATTAAAAAAACCTATTACTTATTACAATGTTTAATGAATAAACATTAATTATAAGAATCATTTTTAAATTTAATTTCAAAAAAACATTTACAAAAAACATTATGAACTTAATTTATTTTTGTAAAAAAAACTTACTAAAAATGTGTTTTGAATTTAAATTAATTTCATTAAAACTTATAATTATTATGTAGAAATATTAAAAAAAAAAAAAAAAATAAAAAAAAAATGTTACTGACCATAGTTTAAAATATCTATTAATATTTTAGCGATGCGAAAACATAAAACAAAATTATTTTAAACTAATTCAATTTAATAATTAAAAAAATTATTCATCAAATAAAAAAATATAAAACATAATTTGACATTGTAATATTATTAGGTAAGTAGATAAAAAAGTAACAATAAAATGAATAAAAGAAATAAAGAAATAAGGAAATAGGTAAAAAAAAACAACAACAGATTTACAGAAAAAAAAACATAAGATAACATACTTTTATCTTCATGCTGAAATAGCGCCATACTACTTACTGCCTAAATTGTCAATAGTAAAAAGTAAAAAACAGAATTACTTTAATAAAATTTAAAAGCTATAAAATTTAAACCAAGTAAAAAAAAATATTGAAAAATGTAAATTAAAAAAAAAAAAAAAAATTAATTTTAGAAATTATAAGATGTATAAAACACATTAATTTTCAAAATTATAGTAAAAAAAAAAATTTAATAATAATAACTAAACCATTTTAATTATAGAATAGTTTTATCAACCAATTAACAAACAATAAGGCCAATTAATAAACTTTTATAAAATAGATTGATAACATATACTTTTTATACATTCATTAGACTAAGTAATCCATTTTCTTAAGGATATTAAAATTTCCTCTAACATTTTCTTAAGGATATTAATATTCCCTCTAACATCTAATAGTAAAACCATACAAGTTTAGGGTGTAAATCAGGGTTAAGGTCAGATATGTATTTGTATTTGGTAATAATGGTCTATATTTGTATTGTTTTTATGTTTGTATTATATTGATTTGTATCATTTGCATTGTTTGTATCATTTGTATTGTTTTTAAGTTTGTATTATATAGAACTATAAAGTTAAATATATTATACGTTAAACTATAATGCTCTATAAACTTGGTTGACTTATTTTTATAGAGAAAAAAGAGAGATTCTTTTTTTTGTTGTTGTTACTGAAACAAATAACCTTTTTCACTTTAAACACTAAAATAATTTAATAATATATTATAAGAAATATTGATTAAAAAACTTTTTTTTATTATTTTATTTAGTAATTTATTTAGCACTTTGTCAGTATCACTTAAAAGAAGAAGTCCATTTTTTTAAACACCAAATAAAAAATTTTATATTTAAACTTGTATTTGGAAAACATTGATTACATAACTTTTTTTTTTTCAACATCTTCACTTTCAACAAGGCTGCAAGCAACCACTATTAGAGTTGGAAGGTACTGAAAGAAAAAAGGTGAAATTTATAGAGTAAGATAATTATTAACAAACAACTTAAAAAATTGCAAATTATATAAATCAGGAAGACAAGATAAAGGAAGCAAACTTTAAAGGACTGATGTTCGAGGAAAAAAACTAGATAATTCAGAATAATTTTTGAAGCACTTAGAAACAATCACAGTAAAAGGATGAGACTTAACTGTATGACAAGTAATATGAGAATGAACTTTAGTAGATGGCACAAGAAATGCTAGCTCTTTAGAGCAGTACCCAATACTGTATTTGTTGAAAAGAGAAAGAGAAGCAACATTACAATGATGTGATAATGGTTGAAGATTAGTTGCAAGAGCAACTTTTACAATGCATTTTTGCACCTTGTCTAAAAGAAAAAGAGCATCATAAACCCAAAGATATGGCAAGAGTATTCCATACAAGGACAGATTTTAGATTTATTAAAATAAAGAATTCAATACTGAGTAAGAAAGTGGCAAGCACAATAAAGAGATGCAACCCTAGCAGATATTAATTTTGTAATGGATTTAATAAATGGTTTTCAAGATAGATTGAAAGTAAGAGTTAGAAAGTAAGATCATAGAAGATGACTCATCAAGTACATCATCGTTCATAAATCTAGATGATTGTGATAATAATGAGCTAAAAAAAAAGTTTTATCTGAGTTGAAGATCATTTGAATTTCAAACCTAGCCACTAGGAGTCTCATGCTGAAGCAGAAGTGAGATACCTTTCAAGCTCAAATGCCCCCTCCAAGCAATCAGAGAGTATTGGGTTCTTATCAAGAGAAGAATAAATGGTAGTATTATCAGCAAACAATGACACCTTGGTGAGCGAATATCTGGAGGATTGTTAATGTAAATTAAAAAGAGTATAGGGCCAAGGATAGAACCTTGAGGAGCCCCTGAAGTTACAGGATATGAAGAAGCGTGCTGTCTATCAAGGACAACTTTTATACTACCATTGGTAAGGTTTAGTTTTTTCATCTCTGAACTACACCAAGCCAGCTCAGCCATACTCCAGAAAACCATGATGGATAAAACACCTACGCATGGATTTATAAGCGACTTATGACTAAAAAGCTAGCCCAGGCATCTTCCAGAGACAAACATCCTCTTTTGTGGTGACAGTAATTGTGATTTGGAAAATAGTCAAGCTCGATGACCGTAACACTAACCCTTACAGGCTAGGCCCAGGTAGGTAAGGATTCAATAATTTTAAAGATATTACCTTATACATCATTAAAAGAGAGCTTATGGAGAAGACCGCATGCTTTATCAAAAGCTACTTTATCTAAAGCTTCAGAAATGTCAAAAGCGATAGCCATAGCCTCTCCACATCTATCTAATGCAAGATAAAACCTATCAGTTATTACTGTTAACAAATTAGGAGTAGAACGAGAAGATCAAAATCCATATCGATGATCAGAAAGTAAATGATTAAATTCGAGATGAGAGCTTAAGTGTTTATTAATTAAAGTTTTAAAAACCTTGCTTAGGATAGGAAGAAGACTAATGAAACGATAGTTTCATTATTTATACAACGATAGTTTCATTAGATGAATCAGATCGTTCTCCAGAATGTTTGAAAATAGAGATAACAGATGCCGCATTCCAATAGGCTGGAAAACAAGAAACTGATAAGCACTTATTAAATAGTTTTGATAGTATATACGACAGGTCTGGAGAACACTTCTGCAAGACTATAACAGGTATGTTATTAGAACCACAAGCAGTAGTCTAGAGTCTAAGCAGGAAATCAACTCCAGCTTCTGTATCAAAATCACTTTAGATACAGAAGCTGGAGTGATATGATGGTCAGGTAATTGTTTATGTTAATGGATTAACCTGTTTCTCATCTTGATCAAGTAGAATGCGGTTAGTGAAATCAAGAGATAAAATTGATAAGAAACTCTTAGCAAACAATTCAGTGTTGTCTTTAGGTGAAGTGACAAAATCTGAACTATACGAGAGAGGTGGAATAATAGATTTATCCTTTTTTATTGATACTGTTAAAGATTCTCTAGAAGCCACAAGAGCCTAATTTTTGAGATGAAACACAAGATTTTATGACCTGAGAATAGCGGACTTTGGTGTTAGACAAAACCCCAAAACCCTTTTTTTAATGGCTTAGTAGTATATATGATTTGGATTTGTCGAGAGGAAATAAAGAATTCATGCTGCATCTAAAAAGTTATATAAGAAGCACATTTGTCAGCAGGAAGATGAAAGATTTCTACCCAAGCCCATCACAAAGAAAATTAAAAACTAAACTCAAATTAGTCTTACAAAGAGCAAGTAGGTCAGGTGAACTTTGCAAGAGATAAGACTCAAAAGAAGAAAGATTACTTCAAAGACCATGAATACTAGTGAATGATAGATTTAGAGAACTGGGTGATCGCAATTGTTTTTTGTTTTTTTTTAGTTTTGGTAAAAAGTAAAAAGTTTAAGGTTTATGAGTCAGGAAAACATGAAGATGAGAGAGATTTCTAAAGGATTGAAATGCGGGGATCGCATGCTCAAAAAACTTTTATTTGTCTATTAAACTAGACAAATAAAAGCTTTTGGAGCATGCAGGGACAGATACAGTAAAAAAATGAGACTTTGATGAATGACGAGTCAAGCAAGAGCTGCTTTGAGCAGCAACTTTGATAGTATTTGTAGAAAAGAGAAAGAGATGCAACTTTTCAACACTTTACGACTCAGTGAGAGGATTACCATTCATTAATATAAGAGTGTCAACAGTACTGCGATAGTTGTTGCAGTAAATAACTATGTTTTGTTGGGGTTAAAAGCCACTGCAAGCCCAAATCTGTTACAGAAGTAAAATCAGATTCAAGATTGACTGCCTGTTCTAAGTGATCAAAAGAGAAGACTTGTTGTCAAGACAGGAGTATAAAGTTAAGTCATTAGCAAAAAAAACTACTTTAGATGTAAGGTTATCGGAAAAATCATTAATGTAGGTAAGAAACAAAATAGGACTAAGGATAGAACCTTGAGATAGCCCAGAAGTTACTGGAAATAAAGAAGAGTGCTTGCCATTACTTTATGACTTTCAGGTGCGGATGCAGCATTTTTTTATGTTTGAGATACATAACTTCCAGACATGGAGTAAACTCTATGGTAAAATTTCTATGGTTATACTTAAACCAAATAAGGATGCTTTGCAAAAAATTGCTATGATTGGAGCCTGGGAACAAAAAAGCCCTAATATTTTAGCTACATCTACCCCGAATGTGAGAGCAACAAGTTGATAAAATAATTTTTATACTATTCTTAACTAAATCTATATTCATCGATAAATTTTAAAATTCGCATAAAAGTATTTGATTGTTCAAAAATTATGACCATAAAAAGTTTGAAACCCCTCTATTTGAGGGGTTTGCAAATTTTATTAGGTTATAATTGTTGAACACTAAGAGGTAGAAAGTAACAAATTACATTTACGTTACTGTAATTGAGTAGTTACTTTGTGAATTTCTACTTTTTAAGTATTTTTTTAAATGTGTACTTTTACTTTTACTTAAGTATTTTTTTCCTAAAGTATTGTACTTTGCTACATTTGAAATCATATGCGTTACTGAGTAAAAAGGTTATTATACTTTGTTTAATTTCACTAATACTATGATTTAATTTTTTTGTTTTTTTGAGTTTTGCTCACTTTATTAAAAATGACGCTTTTAAATAGCGTACCGTTATGGTGATGTTATTTAGTCGGTTATGCTTGTTTGTCTGAATATCAATCCTACAACCACAAGCGTTTTTAAGAAATTCTTTTGTTTCTGTGCAATGTTTGTCCAAATATCAATTTCAAAACGCCTTACGTTTCTGAAAAAAATTCTATTTTCAGACCCATAAGGGTACGCTATTGTTAAAAAAAATGTTGAGCGCTCTCATAAAGACTTTTTACTGCTTTAGATTGGTTTCTTTTCACTTTTTACAACCATAAAAAAAATTTCTGCGCAAAAAAAAAAATTTTATACAGAAAAGAATAGACTACGTGATTTTTGTTACTTTATTTGACAGCTTTTTTATCTGACAGGCT